CAATTTGGTTGTGATATATGATTTTCTTGCTGATTTGCTGCAAGATTTGATGCATGGTGATAGACCATTCTATTTGCTAGTAGTTTATTGAGCATCTTTGCATCTATATTCGTTAGGAAGATTGGTCTGTAGTTCTCTTTCTTGGTTTGTTCTTTCTGTGGTTTTGGTATCAGTATGATACTTGCCTCCAGAAATGAGTTAGGGAAATTTGTTTCCTTTTCAATTTCATTGAAGAGTTTGAGGAGTGTTGGTATTATATCTTCTCTGAATTTCTTGTAAAATTCTGCTGGGAATCCATCAGGACCTGGGCTATTCTTTGTCAGTAGGTTTTTAATCATGTTTTCAATATCATTAATTGATATTGGGTTGTTCAGGATTTTCATATCTTTTTGACTAAACCTTGGTAATTTGTACATATTTAGGAATCTGTCCATTTCTTCTGAGTTTTCTATCCTATGGGAGTAAAGATTTTCAAAGTAGGTATTAATGATCTTTTGAGTTTCTGTGGACTCTGTAGTAATTTCATCCTTTTCATTCCTTATTGCATGAATTTGAGTTTTTTCCTTCCTTTTTTTGATAAGGTTAGCTAGGGTTTTATCAATTTTATTTATTCATTCAAAAAACCAATTGTTGAATTCACTTATTCTTTGGCGGGTTTTCTTCATCTCAGCTGCATTAATTTCTGTCCTGATTTTTATGATCTCCTTCCTTCTTTGGGCTTTGGGCTCGACTTGTTCTTTTTCTAAAAGTTTGAGATGCAGCATTAGGCTGTTTATTTGTTCTCTTTCTGTTTTCCTTCTGTGTGAGTTCACCACTATAAATTTCCCTGTGAGGACTGCTTTCATTGCATCCCACAAATTTCGGTAAGTTGTATTTACATTTTCATTTGTTTGTAGGTATTTTTTAATTCCCTCTTTAATTTCTTCTGTGACCCACTTGTTGTTCTGGAGGTTGTTGTATATTTTCCAATTGTTTATGGAGTTTTTGGAGATTCTTTTGTCATTAATTTCCAATTTCATTGCATTGTGGCCCGATAATATGCATGGGACAATTTCAAGTCTTTTATACTTCAGTAGGTATGCTCTATGGGCTAGAACGTGGTCTATTTTAGAGAAAGACCCCTGTGCTGCTGAGAAAAATGTGTATTCCAATGTTGTATGGTGGAACACTCTGCATATATCTACTAAGTCCATTTGTTTGCAGCTTCAGTTCAGATCTGTTATTTCCTTGCTGATTTTTTGTCCAGTTGACCTATCTCTTTGTGTCAATAGGGTGTTGAGGTCCCCTGTTACAATAGTGTTCTTAATTATGTGGGTTTTCATGTCTGTTAAGATTTGTCTTATATAGTTTGGAGCTCCTATATTTGTTGTATACGTTTTTGATTGTAATCTCATGCTGTTGCAGTTTTCCCCTAACAAGTACGTAGTGACCTTCTTTATCTCTTTTGATTGTTATCAGTTTGAAGTTTATAGTGTCTGCAAACAGAGTAGCTACACCTGCTTTTTCTGTGTTCTTGTTACATGGGAGGATTTTTTTCCATCCTTTGACTTCCACTCTATGGATTTCCTTTTTAGGAAAATGTGTTTCCTGTATAGAGCATATCATTCCATTTTGTCGCCAGTCTATTTCTTTTGACTGGAGAATTGTGGTCATTTACATTCATGGTTATAACTGCTGTGTTGATTTATCATTTCATGTTATTTAGTTGAGTTAGTTTCCTACTTTTTCTGTTTACTTGCTTGCTCTTCTTGACGTTTCCTTTCTATTGTTTTTCTTGAAATTGCAGATAGATTTTTCTCCATCTAAAATATCTTTTAGTTCTCTTTGCAATGCTGGTTTGGCCCTCATGAAGTTCTTTAATTATTCTTTGTTGTGGAAATATTTTATTTCTCCATTGAATTTGAGGAATAGTTTTGCAGGGTACATCAGTCTTAGTTAGAAGCTATTTCGTCTGAGGACCTTTAATACTTGACTCCAAGCTCTTCTCGATTGGATGGTTTGTGCTGAGAAGTCTGCCTTGATTCTGATGGGCTTTACTTTATAGGTAATGTTTCTTTCCTCTAGCAGCTTTAGTATTCTTGTTTTTTGCTGGAGATCTGGGAACTTGACTATTATATGTTGGGGTGTAGTTTTATTTTGGTTGTGGTTGGTGGGAATTCTATATGCCTCATTTACCTGTATATTACATCTTTTTCCATACTGGGGAAATTTTCTGCTATTATTTTTATAAATATTCTGTTTAAGTCATTTGTGTTGCCTCCTGTTGTTTCATTGACTCGTATTACTCATGCATTATTCCTCTTTGCCTCATCTTGCAGCTGTTTAATTGATTTTTCCTGGATCCTTGTTGATTTTAAGAGATCCTTTCATTCACGGTTGCTAGCTGCCATGCTCTCTTCAAAATCTGAAATTCTATCTTCAGCTTCATTCAAGCAGTTTTGGCAGCTTTCAATGGAAGCTTTGATTTCCTGCAAGTCTCTTTGAATCTGATTCATGCATTCTAAGTCCTTTCTGTATTTTTCATTTAATGTTTCTGTCCACTGCCTATGTTCTTCTATTTTTTGATGTTTCTTCTTCAGATGCTCTGAGCAGTTCTTTCATTATTATTGTCATTTCATTTTTTGCCTGAGAGATTATTTCTGATCTCATCTCTTTTATGGCCTTATGGAGTTGTTTCTTTACTTCAATTGCAACCCTTTCAGCTATTTCAGGCATGTGTTTAACACGTTCTCCTATGTCAATGTCTCCGGGACTTGTTCTGAGTAGGGTCGAGTTCTGGGGTTGTGTTTTAATCCTTTGTCTTATCATGTTTGATACTGGCTGCAGAAAGCTCAGTTTCCCTCTTCAATGGCTGCACGTCAAAGGCTGCTAGTGTCCTTAGTTTTCCTGTTGGTCAAGCTTGGCCCTCAGTGTCTGCTGAGATGCACTACTTTTTCTGGGGTTTTCCGGCAGATGCTCAAGTGTATCTAGTTATCCCAGATCTCAGACTCGGGGTATGGTGCAGCTGATAGCAGACCATCTGATCCAGCATCCCCTTGCAGTTCAGGGCATGTGCATGGCCTGAATTTGGATTACACTGGTGGCAAAATCCTGGTCCAGTGGACCTGTGTCCCCAGGCAGTTCAGGGTACAGGCAAAACCCAGACACAAACTACAAAGTCAACAGTTTGTGGACAACCTGATTCTGTGTCTCCAGTCAGATCAGGATGTGTACAGGAGCCAGACGTGGGCCACTCAAGCAGCAATCACAGACTGCCCGTGCCTGTGCCCTCCAGAAGTTTGGGGCCCAAGTAAAGCACAGACTGGAACCCAGTACCAGCAGCTCATGGGGCTTCCCCTCACTTAGCACAGGGCACGCGCAGGGAGGGCTCACACATGAACCCCAGTGAGAGCAGTCTGCAGGCCTTCTGAGTGAGGAACTCCTGTCTGCCATGGGTGCACAGAGGGCAGAGACTCAGACTGTAATTGTGGTGGGGTCCTGGATCTCCCGCTCTGCTCCCAGGAAGTAGATAGGAAATACCTGACTTTGTCTGTGGCTTTCAGCAGGGAACCATGGTGGCAGCAGTGTCACAGCCTGCCTGGTTCTGCTTCTCCAGTTAGATCAGAATACACAGAGGAGTCAGAGCCTGGCCACTCAAACAGTAATCACAGACTGCCCATGCCTGTGCCCTCCAGGAGTTTGGGGTGCAAATAAAGCACAGACTCGAACCGTGGTACCAACAGCTCTTGGGGTGCCTGCTCACTTGGTGCAGGGCATGCACAGGGAGGGCCCACATGTGAACTCTAGTAAGAGCAGTCCGTGGGCCATCTGAGTGAGGAGCTCCTGCCTGCCAGGGGTGCACGGAGGGCAGAGACTCAGAATGTAATGGCCACAGGGACCTGGGTCACCCGCTCTGCCCCCAGGAAGTAGACGGGAAATACTTGGCCCTCTCTGCAGCTTTCACCTGGGAACAAGGGGGGCAAGGGGGTCACAGCCTGCCTGGTTCTGCCTCTTAGTTCAGAACGTGCCTAGGAGCCAGACCCAGGCTGCTCAAACAGCAATCACAAACTGCCCATGCCTGCAACTCCCCAGGGGGTCAGGGTGCAAGTAAAGCACAGACTCGAACCGCGGTACCATCAGCTCATGGGGTGGCAGCTTGCTACCTTAAATTTTTTATAAATAAGCTTAATTTTAACTATTCTACTTGCTTCTTTTAGTGAGATGAAACCATTTCCTTATGAGCCAGTTGAAAGATAAAAAGACAAGGCTCTGTTTTACTACAGTTTTTGTAGGACAGGAAAAGCCATTCTATATATTGCTTTGATCTAGTTTAAATTTAATGATACTGAAAAATACTGGTGTTGCCCTAAAAATATTTCACATTTTATTAAGAATAATTAATCTTTCAACTGGGCTTAGTGCATGCAACCTTATTTCTCAGTACATGTAATGTGATCAAGCAAATTAATACAATGCCTAGGAGGAATGCAAATGGAAGTAGTTTAGAGAATGGGAGAATGTTGCACAAAATTTTATTTTAATATAGACTTACAACTAGAATCATAGATGATAGGCATAGCATTACTCTGTTCTCTCAGTGCTTTTTAAAAATGAGTTGAGCAGAACTCTGGTTCTTGAGAATTGTCTGTAGAATAGTAAGGTGTTGGGAGGGCAGAGCTCCAAGTCCCTGCCTGGTAAAGCTACACATTTCTACTTTATCCACTG